TTTGTAACAAGGCACTAAATTCAATATACGAGAGGATACTGAATGTTTTCTACCCGACTCACTCCCTGAAATATGATCAAATGATCATACATTAGAGTAGGTACCGCCACTTTTTCGCTAAAAAAAAAGAGCATATCATGATGTAAAATGCTCCAAACTTGATAAAGACAAAGTTTCATCATAAAAAATGTTTATGTTATTAAAAGGAAAGATTAAAATATTTTTACGAAATTTTTTAATCCTTTCTAGCACGTTCGAAATTTTGGTTAAAAAACTTGTTTTTCTTGTAATTAGTATTTGTTTGAAAAAAAAAGGTCAAGCCATAACTTTAACGCATCAACAGTCCTTCACCAAACTGATATCAACGAACATTATTGTTTTATTCTGTCACACTTTTGCCTTTCCTATTCATCTTTATCCTTATACGTCCACTCTTAAAATGTACCTATTTTTTCTTCAAACAAATAGAAAAAAGGAAGTGATGCTCCACGTGCTGTCTGTTTATAAAGAAAATTGTTCATAACCGATTTGGTTCTCACCAGTCGAGGTGCAACTAAATCCACCGAAACGAAGTTGCATCTTTGTAGCGTGTAAATTGTTTTTCTCTATATGAAAAAAATTATAATAAATAATTATTGCTCTACTATTGGTATTGATCCCACTTTTGAATTAATGTTGTGAACGTTTGAATTTATATAATATTTTCGTTCTCATTATATGTATATATATATATATATATATATATATATATGTGTGTGTGTGTGTGTGTGTGTGTGTGTGTGTGTGTGTGTGTAAAAATATATAGAAAAATAGGAAAGAACACTTTAGGTAATAATCCGGAGTTCTTTAGTATTATTGTTTTTTTTATTTTTGAAAAAACGGTGCTCCATACAAAAGTAGAGCTTTAATTATAATTATTTAAAAAATATGATTCCTTCGCTACATAAGAGTTCTCATGTTTCAAAAACAAGAGCCAAAAACCTCAATATAATTATTAAAATTAAATTAAGTTAAAGTATCAAGCCCTGTTTCATCCTCAAGCGAAATTTTAAAATAGGTCTGGATATTTTAAAAATAATAATAATATATATATATATATATATATATATATATATATATATATATCCATTACATTCACTTACGTGTTAATACCTTGGGAAAGGTATTAATCCTCTTCTTCTCCCGCCAGTATATTTCTTTCGATGTCTAAAGGCGTCTTGTCAGGTGGTTAGCGATGGTGCTGATAAACGACTTTATTCAAAAATAAAATTTATGAAACATCACTTCTTTTTACATTATTGAAAATTTTCCATGGGAGGAAAAGAAACAATTATATAAAAAAATTTATTCATTTCATAAAAGGAAAAGAAAAAAAGCAAATTAAAGTTAAAAAAAAGGAAAAGAAAAGAAATAAAAAAAAAACTAAACTAAAGAGGAAAGAAAAGAAAGGCATAAGAAAGCATAAGAGATCAACCCTATTACCAAGAGAAGGGAAAGAAAAGAAATATATATATATATATATATATATATATATATATATATATATATAAACAAAGATTTGAAGCCAGAGAACATAAGCACTGATTTGAAAAAGAACGACGGCATTTTCTATTTTTTATTTTCTAAAGGAATCCTTTTCGACCAACATCCCTTTTCGAAGGTAACTGTTGACACAAATCTAACGAAACAAGAGATAATATTCGCAAAAGAATATATTGAGGAGGGAACTTTGGCACAAAATAATAGTAAATAATTCACGATTAAAATAAGTAATAAACAGTTCCAACTGAGTGGAAAAGCGAAAAATTCTTACTCCTGACTCTCCAATCAAGTATAGAGAGCGAATGAAATGTTCTTTCTGCTTGCACAAATCCGGTTGATGTAACTTGTATATTCCTTCAAGAACACGCAAGTGGTGAGCAGACGAAGCATAAATATACAAGGGGTTTGGGCACCTCAAGGCGGTGTAATGGTTAGCAAGTTTGTTTTGGTAGAACAGTTACGACTGAGTAGTGAGTTTGATCCTCACTGGGTGTCCTATACATTCGGCCTTGTGCCACATCCGAGCTAAGCTTGGAAAATTCCTAATATACAAGGGGTTTACGGCATTTCCCAAACAAAAGCTTCACGTAGAAATCAACAAAAATGTTGGCTAATACTGGACCCAAAGGACTACCCATAGAAACTCCATCGATTTGGGCGTACATAGCATTGCCAAAACTAAATTCAACTCCTTCAGTTGCTAAATGCATAAACTTCAATAATTAATCAGTCTGCAAATGATACAGCAATAAGCCAACATCTGCTTGATAATCCCGTCTGTGCCAACAAATATGTTTTGAACAGAGCCCTGTCCGCTTATTACTTGCGTGTTCTTGAGGCAATATACAAGTTACACTAACCGGATCTGTGCAAGCAGAAGGAACATTTTATTCGCTCTCTATGTTTGTTTGGAGGGTCATCAGTGAGAATTTTTACGAATATAAATTTAAGATACAGTGAAGTAGAGAGTAATATATATGGCATCATTATATCCGTTCTGGTAACGGATATAATGATGTCATATATATCATGAAACAACTCCAGGGAATTGTATACCTCTCTAATAGTTAATTGTATACCTACTATATCGACCCCAGAGCAGCATATGACGACATCAATAGAGACTATTAAAAATGCTTTGCAAGTTCTGAATTCACTGAATGCATCGATCTAATAGAAGAACAATTGCTGTCCACAAAAAATTACACGTCTGACTTCAATACGGAAATATTTCAAATTTCATCAGAAGTATGACAAGGAGGAAATAAGAGCCACAGTCTACACATTCTTTTCGTAGTACCCAGCGTATTTACGAGCATAGACATGAAGATCATTTAAGCCTTTCATATCACATCCTAAACGAATCAGCTAATAGAAGACAACGATTCTGTTCCCCCCCCGAGACCAATGCATTGATAATGAAGAGGGCTATGCTGAGGATATAGGTGTTCATTCCGATAAGAATGACTTTGAACAGAAAATCAACACCCTCTAATAAGTATTCCAAGAAATAAGACTAAAAAAAAACCTTTCCAAAATAGAAAACAAGATCTGGAACTGGAATGAAAAACATTCATAGCACCTACCCTGAATGCATCATAAAAATTCAATGTGTGGAATTAGTAAATACCGAACAATTGAAAATACTTCAGTGTTTGGATCAATTATAACAAATTTAGTATAGGAGATAAGGAAATTTAACATAGAATAGGCTGCGCTTGAGGTCGTTTCACCCAACACCACAAGTTGCTACAAAACCAAAACATCAACCTAAAAACTCGAGAGTTATATTCTTCATATGTCTTCGTCAGATCGAGACTTTCATGCGAATGACGCCAAACCTGTTCAGATATATGTAATTTGCCAGCTGTATACAACCGCTTTCGCAGATTAATGGTTAAGAATATCTTTGAGAGGGAGTTAAGCCTATGGGGCTTTGCGACGATCATCCTTTTTCGAACCTTACGTTACAGATTCACAAACAGAGAACAGATAACAAAAGCGACATTACTTGAGGACTTTCAACAGCAGCAGAAACTAAAATGCATAGCACATGTAACTCGAAGTGAAAATAATGGCATAATCTAGATGTTGATATTTCACACTACTTTAAATAAAAGATTAAGAAGGAAACGCCTATCAATAGTGGAATGAGCGATAACAACTACTGGACTTGACAAACTTATTTTCCTGAAGAATTGTTTTAAAGAGAAAAATTTTATAAATTATATGCGAAAATAAATTTACCATCAAAACTGGAAAGAGCGATAACAGCTACTGGACTTGAGAAGCCTATTTTCCTGAAGAATTGTTTTAAGAGAAAGATTTTATAAATTACAACCGAAAAGAAAGCTTCCCTCAATACTGTAAAGAGCGATAACAGCTACTGGACTTGAGAAACTTATTTTTCTGAAAATTCATTCTAAGTGAAAGATTTTATAAATTCCAAACGACAACAGCATTGACTGTTTGGTCAATGAATGCTGAATATCTCCTTATAAGGAAATGGCTAGTATTACCATCCTCATTACCATAAAGTGTGCTTCTAGTATTTGAGAAAACATCTGTAGCCGATCATAAATAGATGAATATGTGTTATATCCCTTCAGGATTTTCTTTTTTTTACTAATACAAGGCGGAAAAGCCACTTAAGCTAGAGGCTTAATGTGTGATGTTGTATAAACGTGAGAAAGTGCATGAAGTGTAGTTTATGGGCCTATGCAGGAAAGATAACGGCCAACTCTGAACTTGAAGGGCTTTGGGTGATTATGGCTCTCTACAACTTCCTATCCTTTGCAGCACTAAGTAATATTTATCCCTTTATTCATAATCGAAATCTCTCTTCATCCATACACTTACCGAAGCTCGTTACATGAATTACTCGTTGTTTTTCTGTCCCTTTTGCATTCACTATATCATGTGAGTGTCAAATTTTCTAAGCCTTCTTTCCTTATCATTATCCCAAAGTTTCAACTTTCTTTTTCTTATTCTAAGTGTACTTTTTGTTTCCATTACCCTTAAAAACTTTCTCGTCGATTACCTGCTTCGTCCATGATATTCTCAGTATCCTTCTGTAGAACTCCATCTCTGTTGCGTTCAAGACCCTCTTCATCTGTGAGGAAATTGTCCAGAATTCCAGGATTGATATTAGATAGTAGTTCAACACCCTTTTCTTTGTTTCTAACGAAACATTTTTCTTCTTAATACTTTGTTTAGTTTTTAGAAGGCATCTTTCGCTGTTTCCATGAACCCTCGACCTCGGATATCTGTCATATTTTTCGTCGTCTGTATACTGTTCCGCACTTTTTGTATTTGATTGCAAATCAGGATTGACGCTTATAATTCGACTGAACAGAATTGCTTCAAATCCATGTGACTGTTTGAAATGTAAGCTTTTGAAAAGAAAAAAAGATTAAAAAAAACGCAGGAGGCGAGCGAAAAAATATCCCTCTACAAACGACGAAAGAATGAATGAAAGAAAGAGAGAGAGAGAGAGAGAGAGAGAGAGAGAGAGAGATTATCGAGAATCATGTCTCGTTCTTGGATAGCGCCGCAAAGGCGAGTATCATGATATAAAGAATGATAAAGCTGATATCTAATCGAAAGAATATAAAGAAAGCAAAAGAAAGGAGTATCCCGTGAAAAACAAGACCCTCCAGACCCTTTTTCCTTGGCGGAAACCATTCGGTTTTTTCATTATTCGTGGCTAAGATGGAATTCTTTTCCTAACGCTTTCTCTTCCTTTTTGACCACAGCAATGGAGGAATTAACGGTAAAAAAGGAATAGAAAAAGAGAGGGAAAAAGAAAAGAAAAGAACGAATGAGAAATTAAGAATTAATCTTGATTGAAAATGGAATAAATGAAAAAGGTATTAGTAAATGAATGAAAAGGGAATGAATGAATAATGAATGAATGAAAATGGGAGTAATGAGCCAAGGAAAGAAAGAAATGGACGAATAAATAAAGAAGGAATAAAAAAAAAAGAATGCAGAAAAAAATTGATTTGAAGAAAGGAAGTAAAAATGAATGAAAAGAAGAAACAAAAATAAATGTATAAAAAAGGAAGTAATGAAAAAAATGAATGAATAAACGACAGAATGAAAACAAAGGATCTAAAAATAAATGAAAAGGCATGGATAAAAATCTTTAAACTGAAAAAATTAAATGTAAAGAGAGTCCCTATTAAATGTCGAAAAAAAGAAAAAAAGAAAGAATAATGGATGTCTCGTAGACAAAAAGGACCATAAATTAACGAATGAAAAAGGAATGAATGGATAAACATTGGACAGAATGAAAAGGAAAAAAAAAAACAAGACCAGTAGAAGAATGAAAATTGATATTAAAAATGACCAAGAAAAGAAGGGGTGAATGAAAAAGAAGAATGGAGAAATGAATGAATGAATAATCAATGGACAAATGAAAAGTACAAGTGAAGGAAAAAAGAGTAATTAAGAATCGAATGAGTGGACAATGCTATCTGGAAAAAAAATTGAAGAAAAGGTTAAAAAAGGAAAATGAGGTTGAAAAAAATACTAGAAAAAATAAAAAAGGATTATTATGAATGGACCCTGTTAAAGGTAACAGTGGGATTAATGCTTGTTTTTTTTAACCATTGACTTAGATTATGTGAATCGTATAAAATGCCCAGTGACAAACAGGACCAAAAAAATGAAAGAGGAGAATTGATATTAGAAATAAAATTATGTATTTTGAGATACTCTCAACTATCTGAAAAAATATTGTTAAACTGAAAGAAAAGTTTTCAACACACCCATCATAGTTGTATATGCCCCGACAGCATAAAATATAGAAGAAATTGAAAAGTTTTACTGTACAGCGCCAAGGCCCAATACGAATCGCAAGAAATTACAAATTAGAAATTACCCGGATGCCAAAGTAGGCAAGAGGATAGATTTTGAAATAGTTGGTAAATTTGAACTAGGAACTCGGAAAGAATGTGGAGAAAAAAATAGATCCAATGGTACTCGGCAAATGACCAGGTAGTAGCCAACATCTGGTTTCAAGAACACTCAAGACGTATATGGAGATAAAGAAGTCCAAGAGTAGAAACGAGAAACCAAATCGACTATCTAGCTATCAATAAGAGATCCAGGAATCCAGTTTTACACTGCAAAAAAGTGCCGACTGTGGGAGCGATCACCTTCCAGTAATGTGTAAACTTCGAGTGAAACTACGAAAATTGAAGAGGGCCAAGGTAACACCCAAACTGCAATATGACTCCTGAATGACCCGAATGAAAAGAAGGAATATATGGCCGGTATTAAAAGTAGATACAATGGATAAAATGAGAATTGTAACATTAAGAGAAGCTTACAAGATCAGTTGAAAGGAAAAAACGACGAAGAACTAAAGAATGACTGACAGATGAAATTCTTGACATGATAAAAAAGAAAACAAAAAACAATGCCAAGGTATGGAACAGAATATAGGACTCTGCACTAAGTTTGTAAGCTATGCAACAAAGTACACAATATTAATAAACAGATCATTAACAGTACATAAATAAAATAAAAAGTTAAAAAAACTTATTTTTTAATCCAAGTTTCGCAGATGTTGGAATATTGATTCGTTTTTTACGGCTTAACAACCCATTGCGGTTTTTTTAAACCCAGAAAATGTTTTAGATTGTAAGAAATTTGAAGATAATAATTTATTGATATAAGTCGTTCTAATTAACCCATAGAGGGGAGAGAAATGAATTCATATCTTTTTCGATGCTATTTGCGCGTAAGGGACTATAACGAACACGATTGGATTTGGAACTTGGATCTCCGAGTTCCAATTCTGAGCCGTTGTCCATTAGACGGCTTGCATATCTAAACGTACAGCACCTGGTATTCCCAAGTAGTCACCAATCTAGGTGCTGACAAGGCTCGAGGTTGCTTAACTTTGGCAACCGTACGAGAACCGGTGATTCAACGTGATATAGACCTAAGGCGCTATGCTGGAGTAAACCGATAAAGAATTAAATAAACCTAATTTGACTGATTTGTACAAATTAGGATAGATATGTATGCCTAGATTAAATTTAACATATTCGCTTCATTTTAAGAACAGAAATTGTAAATCTGTCTATATTTCTGAGATGAGGTATTATGTACACTATTTACATTATTCAGACTATTGTCCTCATCTTTGTTGCCATATTTATCACAACGTTTCGGCTGTTGTACGCTCCGGCCTTCTTCGGGTGGTTGGAATGTCGAACTGAACCCTTTATTTCGTTCACTGGGGTAGACTGTTCTAGTTCCACGTGCCATGTGTGATGGATGTCAGTTATCAGTTATCTCCTGTTAATTTCCCTCTGAAAGTTCTCCACTGCCTTAACCGGGTATTGAACTCACACTCTTTGGGTCCTGTCACTGGATCTAATCAACGCCTTTATCCACTGTGCCATTAGGTTTATAATACCCAGAAATTCATACCCAGATGTCCTCAAGAACACATGGCACAGTGGATAAAGGCGTTGGTCAGATCCAGTGACAGGATAGCACTTGTAGACATCAATGTAATTTAATCGTCAGCAAGTTAGCCTCGTGAAGCGTTAAGGCTGTACTGATCACGCTGGTATTCTACACGGTGGTCTTGTGCCGGACTAAAGAAAGCTTTTTTAAACAAGTGCATGGAGCCTGTTTGTTTGAATGGGGAGAGGCGTATTTGCTTAGAGGACCTTGTACCGGTTTTGAGGTCCGACTAAAAGCCAGCAATCTGAATGTCGATTCACCTAACACTATCTTACCACTCTCTACGCAGTAATTGCTTTTTTTTCTCCAAGCAGGAAGAATGAAAAAGAAATAAAACGTAGGAAAGTAGAAAAGAAAAGAAAAAACAGTAAGCAGAAAGGAATTATGAAGAAAGCAGGGAAAATGTTTAAGCCAGATAGAAAGAAAGATAAAGAGAAAGAAGGAAAGATAAAGAAAAAAAAAGAAAAAAGTAAGAAAATAGAGGAATGAAATAAGTAAATAAAATAGAAAAAATGTAAACAATGTAAACGCAAAAACAAAACAAGAAGGAATTGTAAATAAATCAGCTAAAAAGAAAAATGAAAAATGTTGACAAGAAACAGAAAGAAAAGAGAGAAAGAGAAATAAAGGCAAAAAAAAGAAGTTAAGAAAATAGCAAAAAAAAAAAAATGAAGAAATGGAGTAAAAAAAGGAAAAAAAGTAGAAAGTAAAAAGCAAAAATGAGAACTGTGAGCAATCGTAGAGAAAGCATGGAAAAGGAAAGAAAGAAAAATTAAAAGGGAGAGATAAGAGATGTGAATAAAGAAAAAAAAGTAACACTATAATGGAGAGAAACGAAAAAATATCGAACAGGAAGAAAGGAAGTAAAAAAAGAAGGAAAGCAAGAAGCGTTGAATAGAAAATAAAATAAAAACGAAATTATGTAAAATAATGAAAAAATAGACAACAGATGAAAAATAGGTCGGATTTCTATAAAGAACATTAAAATACAAAGAAAGAAAGAAAGAAAGAAATAAGAGATTAAATGGAAAGAGATTAAAAGAAAGAAGAGAAGAAAGGAAGAAAGAAGAGATTAGAAAGAAATAAAGAAAAAATTAAGAAAGAAAGAAGAGATTAGAAGGATGAAGAAAGAAAGAAGAGATTACAATGAAAGAAAGAAAGAAAGTAGAGATGAGAAGGATGAAGAAAGAAAAAAAAGAAGAGATGAGAAAGAAAGAAATAAAGAAAAAAAGAAAAAATTAAGAAAGAAAGAAGAGATTAGAAGTATGAAGAAAGAAGAGATAAGAAAGAAAGAAAGAAGAGATAAGAAAGAAAGAAAGAAAGAGATTAAAAACAAAGGAAGAAAGAAGAGAAGAAAGGAAGAAAGAAAGAAAGAAAGAAGAGATTAGAAAGAAAGAAAGGAAGAAAGAAAGAAAGAAAGAAAGAAGAGATTAGAAAGAAAGAAAGGAAGAAAGAAAGAAAGAAAGAAGATATTAGAAAGAAAGAAAGAAAAAATTAAGAAAGAAAGAAGAGATTAGAAGGATGAAGAAAGAAAGAAGAGATTACAAAGAAAGAAAGAAAGAAAGTAGAGATGAGAAGGATGAAGAAAGAAAGAAAGAAGAGATTAGAAAGAAAGAAAGAAAGAAAGAAAGAAAGAAAAAATTAAGAAAGAAAGAAGAGATTAGAAGTATGAAGAAAGAAGAGATAAGAAAGAAAGAAAGAAAGAAGAGATTAGAAAGAAAGAAAGAAAGAAAGAAAGAAAGAAGAAAAGAAAGTGGAAATAGATTAAAAAGAAAGGAAGAAAGAAAAGAAGAAAAGAAGAAAGAAAGAAAGAAAGAAAGAAAGAAAGGAAGAAAGAAAGAAGAGATTAGAAAGAAAGAAAGAAAAAATTAAGAAAGAAAGAAGAGATTAGAAAGATGAAGAAAGAAAGAAAGAAAGAAGGGATTAAAAAGAAAGAAAGAAGAGATTAGAAAGAAAGAAAGAAAGAAGAGGTTAGAAGGATGGAGAAAGAAAAAGAACAAACGTTGAAATAGAGAAAAACATAAAACGGTGGATTGTAAAAAAGAGCAAAAAGAAATGAGCATAACAGTAAAATAGAAGGAATATATAGAAAAAAAAAAAAATCCAAAGCAAGAAATGAATTTAAAGAAGAGAAAAGAAGAAATGAGACATAAAGTGAACGGAAGAATTACTATCACAAAAAACGGAAGAAAAACTACCACAAAAAAAAAAAAAAAAAAAAATGTCGCAAAAGAAAAGGAGAAAAGATAGAATGGATAAAATTCACCAGGGAAGGAAAAGGTTAAAAGAAAAAAAAAATTCTTTTTTTTGTGTGTCTGATGCATTGTCAGTGTCGAGCTTCCGGTCTCGTCTTGCCTTATCGACGTGGAATAGCGTCTTTTCAGGTCATACGGGTGAAGAAAGGCCGATAGAATGTTCTGGGGGGTTTCTCACCGAAGTTTATGTACAGAATTGGTCTGCTTGATGGGCTTCAAGATTTGATTTCTCCATTTATTGGTTTGCTAAATTTTTTTTATGATTTCGTTTCAAAGGTGAAACGATGAAGGTTGCAGTATAGGCGAAATAAGAGACGTGAAAGAAATGGCATCTCTCGTAGATGCAAATAACTTTGATGACAACTAGTATTACCATGGTGACGGTTGTTGTTCGCTAATAAAAAGAAAGTGTTCGTTGTTCATCAATTCAACACCATTTGTCGGTCGCTGTTTTTTAAAATTTATGTCGAAATTATTTACAATAGGACTAATGTCCTTATCTTTAATGTTATTGCCACGATGTTTCGGCCGTTCTTCGGAATTTCGAATTGAACTATTTAATCTACGGGGGTTGATCGTCTGCGTTCCGCTGAACATGTCTAGGGATATACCATCTTGTTCTTAAAGCGTTGGTTCGTCAATTTGTGGACATAGTAAATTTCCTATCTGTACGTAGTTTACGACCACATCACGATGAAATACCGGTCCCCGCACGTTAAGTTAAGCAACGTCGAGCCTGGTCAATACCTAGACGGGAGACCGCTCAAGAAAACAAGGTGCTGTGAGCTTTGATGTGCGGGTGGTGTAATGGATAATGGTTTCGAATTGAGAATCGGAGAGCCGAGTTCCAATTTCAGCTGGGTTCGTTATATACACTTACGTGCAAAAAAAAAAAAAAAAATGAATCCATCTCTTCTTCCCCCAGCTATGGGTTAATTAGTAAAACTTGCAACACTAAAGCTTATTATCTAAAAAAAGAATCTTACAATCTAGAAATATTTCCTGGCTTTAAATAAGCTGCAAAGGGTTGATAATTCGTAAAAAACAAATCAATCAGTCATATCTGTACGTAGTGGACGCTTATCGTGACGTCGTAGAAAGAGAATTTTATGTTGTTTGAAAATTGATAAATAAGCAATTCGCTCATTTCTACATACTAAAAACTTTTGAAAACGTATAAATAGAATTTTCATTTGTTTTTTATTAATTTTTTTAGTTTTTATTTGAAAGTTAAAAATTTTAGATCTGTTCAGAAGGTGTTTTATTCCCTCAACTTAAAGTAAAATATTCTTTTAAAGGAAATATTAAATTCAATTTGGCTCTGTAGATAAATAAATAAAGCAAATCCAAATTACCCAAAGAAATGTACATCTTTTGTTGGGACACTTCGACGTCTATAGCTGGTAAATTGATTTTCATGCCTCAAACAGAAAGAAAGTAATTTGTAAACAATTAATAATTTTATTATTACAAACGTTATATTTGCTGGGTATATTCGACGGAGTAGGCATCCAAGTTTTTAAACAGCGAAATTAATGTCTACCGGTCTAGAGATTGGGAAGTCTTACTAAAGAATAGACGTGTAGCAGTAATTGTGTATTCAGACAGCGATCCTTTTATGCAAGTTTCATTGAAAACGTCTGCGATTGAGCTCTTTATTTAATTTTTCTTGCGTTCTTATCTTTTCTTTTCTGGACATAAAGTGTGTAAAAATTATCCAAATTTTCTGCATATTCGGGTGCTTTAGGCTATTCTTTAGCTATTATCGAGCATGATTTTTATTTTTTTTTAAATGCATGTATCTTATATATCGCAGCTATGTCCAAATCGTCATAAATACGCTGGACACTATTGTAAGTGGAGGAATATGCTGTCTAAGTAGTCCACCACCAACAGTGGTTTACCTACTTCACGCCGCTGGCGAGTATTGTATTCTGTTGATGTTATAAAAATTACCATTCCATTTCCAACCTCCGTTTTAGTTATTCATCATTCAGTAACCTTTAATCCGTTTTAGTTATTCATCATTCAGTAACCTTTTCTAGGTTACAACAGATAGATAGATAGATAGATAGATAGATAGATAGATAGATAGATAATGAACAGACTGAGATAGTGTTATATACCGTACCTATTAACACTAATGGGTATGTCCCAATACTCATAAATTCGTTGCACACTATTGTAAGTGGGGGTAATATGCTGTCTACGTAGTCCACCACTAGCAGTGGTCTACCTACTTCACGCCGCTGGCGAGTATTGTATTTTGTTGATGTTATAAAGATTACCATTTCATTTCCAATCACCATTTTGGTTATTCGTCATTCAGTAACCCTTTCTACGTTACAACCTTGTATCTAGAGTTGTATGTTTTATTTTCCAAACACAGGCAACACATTGTTGACTTGCGTAATTGATGTTATTCAGTGTTGACTTTTTCTTTTTTTATTAGTGCTTTTTAGCCTTTTTTGAATGAGGTTATTATTCTTATATATATATATATATATATATATATATATATATATATATATATATATATATATATATATATATCGTTTCGACTAAATAGCCTTCATCAAAAAAGAAATCTGATATTTGGGTATTTGAAATAACTTTGCGAGAAATTTTCAGCCTCCTGTCGTACATATGTATATTTGTATACATGTATGTTTACCACACGCATACACACACCACATGGGAATGTAATGAAAGAAAGAGTTATATAGGGATATGGACGAAGGTGAGCTGAAAAGTTCATAGGCGGATGAACATATGAAGGAGTGATGCTAGAAATGTGAAATCGTGAATGCTTAATTTCTATTGTAACTTATTGATAACAACATAGTTTGTTTCCAGGAAATCTGACATTTGACTGCCCCCAAAAAAACCCTTCAAAAGTAACTAGTAGTGACTTCTCTTGAAAATGGACAGCATCATTACTTATTGCTATAATCGTTCTGTTTAGAGACTACATTTCTTGTTTTGTAAACAGTGAAATTATGTCTACCAGACTACTAACAAGTACTGTGATTAAGCATATATATATATATATATATATATATATATATATATATATATATATATATATATATATATATATATATATGTATGTATCTGGTAAGGTCTGTGTATAAATCACAGGTAGGCTCTGTGAGTGTTGAATAAACACAAAATGCGCATGAGCAAGCAACTGCAATAAGGGATTGGCTAGCCGCCCTAGTAAACGGATATCCTCGAATACGAGTGGCCAGCTCCACACACACACACACACACACACACACACATATATATATATATATATATATATATGTGTGTGTGTATGTGTGTTTTTGCAAACACACACACACACACATATATATATGTATATATATATATATACATATATATATGTGTGTGTGTTTAATACTAATACACATACACACACATATCTATATAGATATATATACACACAATATATATATATATATATATATATATATATATATAAAATAACAATAACACATTTCTAAAAACATATTTCGGATTACATCTATTCTTTCGTTGTCCTGTTATTACCGAGATGTAAAAAACAAATCTATTTCCATACCTGATGATGTCTGTATGAACAGATGAAAGCTCGTAAAAAACTAAAAAAGACTTTATGCAACTGGAATTTATAAATAGGGATCATAACATTCATCTACAGGTTCGGGGTTAATGTAATTTATTAAATTTGTTCGCGAAGATGTATTCTCGCCATTTATGTCATTAACGTCAATATCTGTTTTTTGTATGAATAATTCATGTAATGTGTATATATATATATATATATATATATATATATATATATATATATATATATATATATATATATATTTCATTAAATGTGGTGAACACGGAAATTTTTCTTCATTGTTTATTCAGTTATTCTAATGTTATTACAGTTTTTCTTTTATGTGGACATTTTATTTGAAACGGTTTCAACCAAATTCCAACCTTACCATATTTGAGAACAGAGAATGTTGGCGATTTTTAAAGACACCCTCAGCCTAGGATTTACTGCTAATCCCATCCATTACAGCTTAAAATTACTACTACTTCTACACAATAAAATTTAGATCATAAACACAGAAAAAAAAACAACATACAAGCAACGAACAAGCAACCAGGTTAAGGAATTGACCAAGAGCGCTTGGACAATATTCACTGCATAGAACCTCTCTTAGTACATAGAAATGGGAAATTGGGCACCTCGGCGTGGTGTAATGGTTAACAAGTTTGTCTTGCTAGAACAGTTACGACTGAGTAGTGAGTTCGATTCTCACTGGGTACCCTTTACTTTCGGCCTTGTGCCACATCTAAGCAGCGCTTGGAAAATCACTATAAATGGAAAATTTGAAGCACATTTGAATGAGTGGAAATCATATAAAATCTTCCTTGTTTGTTACATTCAATGAAACATGTAGATTCTATATGGGGACAGTGTTTCTGAGTTTTTTTTCTTTGGTTAATTTTACTTTTAATTTGGTTTAATATTCAGAAAGCGTTCGACAAAAATAAGAAAATGCAGAGAAACGTAACGTCTTTTATATTATATGAGTAAAATGGCGTTGCAAAAATCATTTTAAAATTTCAAACATTTTTTGATGGCATCTGTAAACAAGGAATGTTGATAAATCCCGTAGTTTTTACTTCCGACATTAATGTCAAACTCAGTCATTGTAAAGAGTCTTTCGCCTGCGCTGATCGTAAAACCGATTTTAATTAATGTCTTGCTAGTTTTTTAAAAATGTTTTTCGATTTGTTGTACTTAGAATATAATAAGAGCAATGATGGCTGTTGGGATTTGCCATGATTAAGTTAAGGATTGGCCTGGTATTGCAGTACCTCCAGGAATCAGCCCACTCTCCCTTGCAATCAAACTTGGAGGCACGGCGGAGTAATAAATAGCGGCTCGGATTGAGGAATCGAGGAGCCGAGTTCGAATTCCAGTCGAATTCATTGCATTCACTTACGTGCTAATACCCTTGGAAAAGGTATGAATTCTTTCCCAGGCTATGGGTAAATAGCAGTACAGACCGGGTTCTACA